TAAATATCTGTTTCTCCAAGGGGATTAACTTTGCAGGTACTCACAGTGATGATGCAGTCCTGCAGTGTGCAGATATTGTCCAGGGAATTCAGTGGGAATAGAGAGTGCTCAGGACCTGCCATGAGTAGACCCGAAGCACTGGCATTTTTGTTTATTCCTCTCTTTTTAATGTCCTGCAGCCTTACGGTGTTTCACAGTCAGGAAAACCTCAGCAAGGCTGCACGGCTGGCAGCTGCTACATTCTGATTTATTGCCTGCTCCATAGCATGCTGTTTTCAGTCATTCTCTTCTGCTGCCTCTCCACCAAAGGATGCTCTTTGATTTTAATGATGTACCTGCATGTACTCTTTACTCCCAACTTGTTCTCAAACTTCCCATCTGTTACACCAACCACCTCCACTGCATCCTGCAGATTCTGCTTATATTTAAACATTTCTAGCAGGAAACCAAAGGAGAAGGAGAAGCCAGGACACACAAAGCAGTAGAAGTCCCTGCTCAGCATGAGGCAATGGGCCCTGCAGCACCTTGGAGATGCTCCAACAGGGACTGTGGTTGGGCTCAAGTGTCTTCAGTGCACCTGCTTGGCCCAAATCCCTCCTCCATCCTGGTCCTTTTTCCCCACAGGAGCATGGAGCCTTCCCTTCCTGCTCACAAGTGCTTGGTGGGGCCTGTACTGGTGGCAGCCTGGGGCACTGGGTCCCACAGGGCTTGAGCACTTTGCCCGCTGTGACACTGCTGGTCACTGGGCTGTGAGCACGCTGAAAGCTCTTCCAGGCTCTCTGCCTTCCCACTGGCATAACTTTTGGCTCAAATTCTCCTCAAAATGCTTATCAGGCCGCAAACAGATGCTGTGGGTAGAGTTCCCAGTTCTCCACCTGCAGCCACACAACCCTGTGCTCCACAAACATGGGGTGCACGGCAGCTGGTGACCCCCCAGATGACAACCCCAGGGTAGCGGGGGCACAAGGGGATGGGGCGAACACTGCCATCACCTGCTCACGTGCTCCAGCTGCTGCAGGCTCCTCATGGCTCAGTCTGGATCTGGGACTCACCTGGGCTTTGGAAGCCTGACCTCAGCGGGAGAGGATTTTGTTCTTCAGTTTCTCTTTTGCTAAGTTTTAAAGTACCACATCCGCTTGTGCAACCATGAGGTAAACAGCCTCCACAGCTCTCCCTTTTGCAGGCATTTCCACACATGAGGGCATAGATGCACAAAGCTGTAACAAAATAACACCTAACCAATCAATGAAAGAAAAGAAGCTGCTTTTTATTTTTATGGTAAGTTAAAATCTGTTCTAGTGAGGTGCAGGGGATGACAATTTTCCCTGTAATTTGCTTAATGGTTTACAGTTTTTAAATATAATTAAATTAAATTAATTGTTTTCACTTGCAGGCCTTTAAAGACTACATGCAATGCCCCAGGTTAGGAACCAGCATAAGGGACCAAAGAATGGAGAGACCTTCTATTATTTGTAATTAATATTGAAATTGAGAAGGACAGTTACATGGGTATGATTTCACACCACCTACATATAACAGAGCAATAGAGAGGATAACCTCAGGGACAGCCAAGCTTTTCTCACCTAGATTGGAATTTCAACCGCAGCAAAGGGCTCCATCTTTCAAGAGAGGAAGAAAGCCCCCTAAATAACTTGTTGAAAGAAAGGCCTGATCTATAACAATTGAAATAGAGGAGGACAAATGGGGAGTTAGAAGACAGCCAGGAGACTGCTAGGAGGATCAGCTTACTCCTAACCCAAATTCAGTGCAGGGTTATTAATGAGGTGACAAGTGCAGGGTCCAGAATGACAACAAACCCACCAAGTCTTTGGTGCAGAGGCAGGGTTGGAGCCATGGGTCCTGCTCTGGCTTCCAAACTCTGAGTGCTTTCTCCAGGGGAGATGACAGAAAACAGGCTTGGAAAGTTTATCTAAGTGACTGAGGTGCCAAACAGCTTAGCAGGAACAATTTAACTTTAAGCACAAATACAAGTGATGGATGAAGTTTCTCACCTGGTGCAGAGGTGTAATAGAGGGCAGTAGCCCTGCAATAGCTTGGAAAGAAATACCATTTCTGCACAGCCTAAGGTCACAGAGCACTTCCTGGCTGTAGGAAAACCCCCAGAAATCCCTGACCAAAGAGGAGTCTGGAGCTGGCATCCTCAGATGACCTCCCGTTACAAATCCCTGTGGCTCTGGCTATTTATAAATGCCCCAATAAGACTGGAGCACAATAATGCACTGACGTTTATAACTACGGAGCTAAGTCGATCTCTCGGGCATCTTCCTCATGCCAGGGAATTTGGAGGGGGTATTTGCTATGTGAGGATGTTCAAAATTTGCCCCCAAAATAATTTTGTGCAATAATGTGCTGAAGAATACATTAACTCCTGGAAGTCCCTGTCCGGGCTAATAGCTGCAGCAGAGCCAGGCTGTTGAAGCAAATGAAGCTTTATCCAGGAGTTGTACTCAGGGGGGAAGAGCTGCAAGATGAAAGCTCAATATCATCCAGTGCAGAAACCTAAGGTGCCCTGCACAGATCACAAACACAGCCCTGGCTCTTGCCCTCCTCTTCGTTAGCTGTTGGCCATGCAAAGAGAAATGCCCCTGCAGCGTGTGCCAGCCTCGCTGCTTTGTAACAGCACCTTCGTCGGGTTTGCTTTTAAAGAAGGCGTTACACAGTGGTAAATAAAAAAATAATACTAAAAAAGTCTGCCACCTAGTGGCAAAGGAAGTTCTTTTAAGGAGATGCTGATATGAGTATCTCTTCCTGTGTTAATGGTAGTTTTTCAAAGGTATTTTCATTTAAGAGACTCTCAGCTAAGCAGTATTTGGAGGGTGCAGATTTTGGGAACACTTTTGGCTATGTCCCAAGGTATTTACAGCATGTAGGTTTTCACAAAACTAAGTGAAACATTTGTTTCTTGTGGATGTTATGGACAAGGTCTTAAAGATGCTTCTACTGGCTTGGACTAGCATTTAATGGGATATAAAATGAATTAGGACTTAGGAAGGTGTGCCTTCCAGCCTGCAAGGCTGCTTTGAATTTAAATTATAGGAAAACTAATCAGTAAGAAAAATGGTTATTCGTTGCTCATTTCTGTGAGAAGAAATACAAACCAAGTAGTTTCTTCCTAAATCTTCCTTTAATAACTGAAGCGTGCTTTCCTCTAGATGTTTCTCCATGTCCCCTGAGCTACCATGCTGACCTTCTCCATGTCTGGAGCATGAGGAGGAGCAGCACCGTCATCCCTCCCCAGCTGCAGCCTACAAATCCGGGAATGAAGTCATATCTGTCAATAAAGTCTTGCTGCTCAGGAGTGTAATTTGGTGTAAGGAGCCTAATTTAGGAAGAAAGCGTGAGGGGCATGTGTTAAAGGATGAGCAATAAGGATAAGAGCAACCATAGCCAGCCGTATGATTGCGGTGGGACTTGAAACATTCTATACATGGGAGGTGTTGAAATACATTTCTTTTCTACACACTTAGACAGCTTCTGTAGAAATAGTTAGAGCCGGGAGGAGGGCAGTAAGGGGTGGTGAAGCTGGGAGTCTCCTCCAGCCGTGGTGCTTCCTGCTGTTGACTCGCTGCTTTGTAACCCATCCCCTCTGATTTAATCAACTTCATACAATGAATGTAAATTGTGAAAGCAGGGCTGGCTGTTTGCAGACTGAAAATAAAGGACTGGATTTGTTTTCTTGAGGGACGAGCATTTCCCGGGTAATATCCCCACTGCAGCAGCGGGTGGGAGCCCTCGGCACCAGGGACCACTTGGCTGCAGGACACACATTGCCCCAGCAGCGAGGAGGTCCCGTGGGGATCAGGGTCTCCCTGTGAAACAGCAAATAACTGCATTTCTCAGCCAGGCTAATGGCAGGGGACGACACCCCACTTCTGGGGGCTGCCCATCCTCTCTGCTGGGAGTTTAGTTAACGCCAGACCTTCGTTTCTGCGCCAGCATAACCTCAAACATTAGGTCGCCTGCTAGGAAAATCTGCCGCGGGGGAGTATGCCACAAAATGAGCCCCGGGGGCTTGTGAAGCCTGAACCAGTTGGTGCTCGTTGGCGAGGCAGCTTGCCCAGGCGGCTCCCGAATACAGGTATCAGGGCTGCTGTCTTGCTCTGTGCCTTTCTGCAGTGAGAAGTAACGCTGCTTCCTGCAGCACTGCATTCCCAAGTATGAGGGCAGCAAATGCGGTCCCTCTGCGAGTCTGTCCCTTGGTGTCACCCCATTCCACTGATCCCTGTGCTCAGGGAGAGGGAGGGCTGTGGCTATGTGAGGTCCCACTTTGGACCTTAAATGTTTCATTAATATTACCTTGAAGAAATTGTACTGACAATCGTCCCCCTCTTCCAACATGAGAAATGTTTTCCTATTAATGTGGAGCTAGCGATTTGATTGTTCCAGCAGGAAAGGCTTTAGTCGTTCCCTCCTCAGCTGGTGAGCACCCTGCCCAAGTGCCAACATCTCCTGAGGAAAAGTTCTTTGTCCTTCAACCATGGCTCTTCCCAGCCAGGCAGCCTCTGCAAGAACCAAACCAAGGGGACAAATGGCACAGCTAATTTTTTTGGGATGAGGCTGCTCCCCTTGAGGTGTTTATTATCAACATTTTCTTCCTAGAAGTATCCTTCAGCAAAAAATGGAAGCAGTGGGATTGAGAGAAGTGTTCCTATAGAAATGTGACTGATCATAAACGGTGCCTTTCAGCCTTGGAAATCCATGAGAGTGTACGCAACAGCAACACCTGCCCTGAACCACACTACCTCCAGCCATGTCTTCAAGACCCAGCAAATGACTGCAGCCAAGTATGCCCAAAACCATCTTTGCATTTTCCTGCTTGGCACCACCCCCTTTTTGCCCACCAAACCCTTTTGAAATGAGGTTCATGCACATCTGCCTGGAGTCCTGTCTTTTATTTCGGTAGAGGCCCGGGGAGCTGCTGGCACGTAGTTAGTGGGACAGACCTAAAGCCAACAGGGAGCAGGGATGCGGCAGGGAGCTCAGTGGCTCAGGAGAGAAGGTTTGCACTTGTGTGCTGTCTGGATCTTCATGATGTCGTTGGATCCCAGCGAGTAGGTCACCTCGTCCTCACTCACCCCTGGTGGCAGGCTGATCCCCCTCCTGATGTTTCGGTAGCTGTACTCCTTCCCTCTTGTGGTGGTGTACTCCTCCTCATGCTCCGCTAACACCTTCACCTTCCCGTCTTTCACGATCACAGTGACTTCCTTGGGGTCAAAGCCCTCCATGTCCATCACAGCCAAAATCTTGTGATCATGGGAAAAGTCCAACATCCTGTTAAGTCGTCTTTGTATGCTGGAATAAAAACAAGAGGACAGATTTCAGTTCAACTCACAGAGGCGTGGGTGGACCACCTTAAGGACAAGAGAAGTAAGTAGGAAAGTATTGGATCCATCTTCATGCTGATGCACAGCAATTGGGGTGGTGCCTGTACCATCAGAAGGAGCTTGCACCTGCGCACCACAGCAGTCAGAAGTATTTCAGTGTCCCCTCTTGGGATTGGGCAACTGTGGAGCTGAAAAATTATTTCACGTGAATACAGAAAAGCCAGTGCTCCTCTTTCACGTGTACATATGCCCACAAAGCCACATGTGTCCATCTTACACCTTGTCCTACATTTTAAACGGATAGTAAAGATAGAACCCATTTTCCAGTTAGGAGTTTTGTTTAAAGCAATCAGTAAAGAGGAGATACAGCTGGCAAAAAAACCCCAAACCCCAAAATGCTCCTGCAGAGCTGGGCTGGAGGCTCACTGAGCTATTAAAATGATTTCTAATACTGTCAAACAGCCACTCTGCTCAACCAGGAGACTGGCTCTTATTCAAACCATTTGTAAAACAGACAATGGAAGGGTCACCTCAGTTTTAATAACTCAATTGGACACAAGGCACCAAATTAAAAAGATAATGGGTGTGAAGGAAGAGGAAATAGGGCAAGCAAATAGGGAAGGGCATGACCAATAAGGTGAGAAATCCCTAATGAGTGGTTGAGTGGTTTGTTAGCAAGGTACACCCATTGCAGCAATCCTACTTAAAGGCTGTCATGATTCAACCTGGTGTGGTGGTTTTGGGATGTATTTTCTGTGTTCCCTGGAAGTTGGCACCTCCACCTCTGGTCTTTTTTAATTTGCTGGTTGGAGGAGAGTAAATGTGCTGAGAAGAGTTGGTCATTCACAGCACTTTGTGTGGGACAAGGATGTCTGAGTTCCCCAGGGCAATAGGCTGAAATCCTGCTGTGGTGTGATTTCAGATGGCAGTGGTATGGACTCGTGTTCAAGTCAGCAAGCTGTCCTAAGGGTGACAGGGCTGGGGAGCCTGTCACTCAGGGAGAGCATGCCCCGGCATCCCATAGCCCACCCTGAGAACCCCCAGCTTCCATTCAGACTTAACTTCCATTCCTTCACTGGGATTTTGGTGTGCAATGCTTCTGCAAGGGGATGCTGCGCCTGCCCAGCTCTGGTACCCAATGCACTGATGAAAACCTGGACACAGAGACCAATTGTGTAGCACCTGGGATCTGAAATTGGCTACTCAACAGCTCTGCGTGAGCTGCAACTACCGGGTAAGTTTAAAGTAAACTCCCAGCAACTTTCAATTTTGCTGAAGTCAGTGTAAAATTAACCCAGAGGTCAGTCCTTTTTCCATTTTCCTCTCACTTTATTGCACCCAGTAGATAACGCATGTGGCAGACTGTGGGATGATACTTGCTGCTCTACAGGAAATGAAAATGTCACATTTTTGTTTGCCGAGATGCAAGTCTTATCATCTCCACATGCAACACAGGAGAACTCAAAAGCCTGAGCTTGGGGAGAAAATACCAATGTCACAAATGCAGCGAGAGACTCCCACCACTGCTGGTGACAAAGGGACTTCTTAGCCCTTGGGGCCTCTCAGTGTTTGGTTGTGCCTTAACCTAAATGGTAAGGCTTTATCATTCAACAGCTTCCTCCCTGTGGGACTACCTTTGGGTTTTATCTCTATTAGAGCCAATCTTGAACTCCATTAACAAAATAAAATCATCACACCAGTGGTCAAAACGGAGATGTAGAAATCTTGACACTTATTCCTCCTACTCTGTAAGGTGGGAAAACAAAACACACATCTATGGTGCCTCAGTGCTGCATCCCACCTCATATAGGCACATATTGACTACTGATGAAGATAATTATGGGTTTAACAGGCTTAAACTGAATTTGCATTGAAGATGGACTTTGTTCCACAGCTGAACAGCTTTGGCTCTAGTTGTGTACTTTACTTTAGATGCAGTTTGTGACATGGTTAATGTCACAGCACCATGGTCCAAACCCTTTCTGGCACAAGTGCTGCCTGCGTGGCTCCTCTTGGGTTGCCTGGCTGAACAAACCGTGCCTTCCTTTTCGCCTTTCAACTGATTTCTCCAGAAATGGCTATTTCTCTCCAATCCTGCTTATATTTTTCCACCTTTACTCCCAGTACTGATGCCCAACTTCCCTTCATCCTGCCTTAAAGTGTGCTGACGCCCATAGAGAGCAGGTGAATATCTGTTACCTGTCCAGTTCTTGCTCCATGTCCAGCACGACGGCGAGGGCCCTCCGCTCCCAGGGGCAGAGGTCGCACTGGTGCAGACAGCATCGGTGTGGGTAGGGGCTGCAGACGCAGGACACAGACAGAGGCTCGTGGAGGCAGGGAGGGTCCAGCAGCCTCATGTCCCTCTGGATCTCTCTCTGTATTCGCTTCAAATCCTGCTCAGCTTTGTCCAAAAGGCAATTGTACCATGCTGCGGTTATGCTGCAGAGCACATCAGGGCATGAGTGCAACCAAGGCACCTTGCAGTCATGGGGGCGGAGGGTGAAAAAATTGCCTGAAGAGTTTTGGCTGAGAGCGGGCATGTGAACGGGGCTGCAGGGGCTCTTGCAGCCTTTCAGCAGGCACTGTATGACGCCATGGGTCACGTCACAGCTCCACAGTTGGCATGGGCAGTGCAGCCCAGGTCCATGCTTTGCCCTGGTTCTCTTCTCCCAGGGCTTTCTCCAGTGGCTCCAAATCTTCTGCAGCCACTGTTGTTCTGTCAGGCTTTTCTTGAGGATGACCCGGTTTCAGTGACAGCAATGCTCATGGCCAGGATATGCCTGGGTCCCTGAAAGGTGCCTGTGGTGTCCTTTAAACACAAGCAGCATTGATACCAAAACCTCCTGGGTCTAATACTGACAGAAAAAATAAGAGAAGACTACAGTGCTTTGTGTTTTGGGAAAATCTGGTCTTTAAGGGCTTGCAGTGGATCGAGTATCAGTGGGAATCACAGAATCACAGAATCGCTCG